AAAAGTAAGTTAAGCTTTAAAAGTGACTTTTAACTATCATTGTGTAATGCCACCTGTTAAAGTAGTCTTTCAGCTGTCAATTTGATGGCTTTCTGAAAAAAATAGTGATATTGCACGGAATAATTTGAAACTGCCATTATCTTTTTTTTTTTTTTTAATAGCTTGGCTCTGCATTTACCAGATCACTGTCTTTAAAAAGGCAGTTCAAAAATTATTTCTAACAAAATAACATTAAATCACTTTGTTTCTCATTTATGTAAAAGTATTTTAAAGTTAGAAGTTTCTTCAATAATATACTGTCCTGTTACACTATCATTTGAATATCATAGTTGACAAAGAGCTTTTCCATACATGATTTCCAGTCCTTCCTACAGCCACCTAATATAGATACTATACCCATTTTTTACAGATAAGAAAACTGAAGATTGGTCTTGAAGCCAGATCTTTCATGACTGAAGCCCAAACTCTCTTCATGAAACCGAGAAGGAACAGAGTGTACAGTGAATCCTTAGAAGCAAATAGCACTTTAACTATTACAGTTTGTGGATTGTGATTCACAAGTTCTCAATAAATTGAAAGGGAAAAGTTTTTAATCCCATGTGCACTCATTCTCAAGTAATTGTTAAGTATAATTAAAAAACATATTCATCTACTCACTCATTCAAATCTTTATTAAATACCTGCCATATGCACAGTCCTGTGCTAAATATTAAGGGAAAATAAAGATGAATTTTAAAAATGGTGCCAACTCTCAAGAAGTTTACAATCTAATGATAGTGACAAGTAGTTTAACACAAATGACAGGAAAGGAACTACAAGTAAATATTTGCCCCTCATTGAGAAAAATCACCTTATTTCTTAATTTAAAGCATAAATTGCCAGTTGGGAAACACTACTATTATATACACCTTTATTAGTTTGTCCTTTTTCAAGAATTCTAATCATTTTTAGAAAAGAAAATGTCTTACCTTGTAACATTTTTATGATAGGCTTGAATTTTTAAAACAAAAATTTGCTTAAAGAAAAATGATAAATTCATAAAATCAAATTAACATCATGCACAAGGCAAATTGTGTAATAAAATGTAAAAAGTTGAGCACAACAGGATGTAGCATTAAAGAGTTAAATATGAATTACTTTGGAGACTTGCCTTAGCAATTTATTATATACAATTTCATCATCATATAAAAAACAGGGACAATATTTACCTCTAATTAGGATTATGTCACAGATGTCATAATTATTTCCATCTGTAATAATACACAGAGTTACAAAAACTAGTATAAAAATTTTCCTAATAATTTATCTTTTTTTTTCTTTTTTGGCGACTGACTGGTACAGGGATTGAATCCTGGATGGTGGTGTTATCAGCACCACACTCTAACCAACTGAGCTAACTGGCCAGCCCTCCTAATAATTTATAAATCAAAAATAATTTGGACTAAAACTAGGGATAAAAAGAAAAAGTGATGATGGTATGGATAATTTAACAGTAAACTCTCAGTGAAGAAATGAAAATAAATTTACAAGTATCAATTTTTTCCATATTTTATTATTTTTAAAAAATGGCTCAGATAAGAACCTTAAAATTCCTAGCAAAACAAGTTTGAGGATTCATTTTGTGTATTGCAGAGAGAAAGAACAGACAAATAGTATAATTAAAAATATTTATTGATTCATTCTCTCCAGAAAATTTTTAAAAAATAAATTACCAAAGGCCAATTCTTCTCTCTGCTCTCAATACTAAGCCATTTTTTCCCTCCAAAAATAATGAAGTAATGTATATTTTTATAACTAATTAGTTTGTGACAGCTGTGATTCTCAAACACTTTTTTAAAATACAAGATCATAGTTGCAAACAGACCATATGTAGCAATTAAAAGAATGAATAGGCAAAGCCTTCTCTAACTGACCAAATGACCGATCAGCTAGATTCAGCCTTTCAGACTACAGATGACTTTGCTCAACAGCCCTGCACATATCAGAGGTGTCCCCCAGATGTTCATAACATCACAAAGGTGGCTGCTAACACCCAATGCCGCAAGCAACAGCAAGGGCACAGAGAGGAGACCTTGCTGATTCAGTTTTATTCATCAACAGAATTCAACTGTGATTCTTTCTCTTCTCCACTTTCTTCATCGGATTCATCTTTTTCCTTGCAAGAATCCTGGCTGTTGGTATCAATAAAATAATTTTCTTTCCCATTCTCTCTTTCTTCTATTTTTTCTTCTCCATTAAAGCTAAAGGAAGAAATTTATCAATCTTTCAAAGGAAAAATGAAGTAGTTTAGAGGTAAACAAACCCATTGCAATGTACGCCATCGTGTAGCCAGTCATCCTCAAGTGTATGTACTTCAATTTGTTATCAAGAAAAGTCTATAAAAGTGCCATTTGGAGAGTTAAATATTCCTGAGACTTAATTTATTTTAAAACTCCAGGGATTGGTTCTTTAAACTTCATCTGAAAGCATGCTATTATTTTTATTTATGTCAGTCAGAATTCTAAGTTATTCTGCCTTAAAAACAAAATACTTCATCACTGTAATATTTTGAACGTGTCAAACACGTTAAAACATCAATATGTTTTACAACAGTTCACATGTACTGCATTAAATAAAATACCTTTTCAAAATAATATAGAAAAGAATTGTATGCTTTCCCGCAGGTAAGAATTTTTTCAAAGGTAAACCATTCAGACATCTTATGTATGTTACCTTTCTTTATCTTCAGTGAAAGTTTTCATCTCTTGATTGCTGAAGTACTCAAATACTTTTCCACTTTGGCCTTTCTTTGAAACAAACTCATCAGATATTCCTAGTGCTTTTAGGGTGTTAGAATAATGTTTTTCTGCTGCCAATCTTGCATTTTTCTATAGGAAAGACA